TAGGCAGTGCCTCTGCTATTTCCAGCATTGGAGGCTCAGCTAGCTATTCATTAATGAGAGTGAAACATTTTACCTTTGACTGTTAAAGTAAATCTAAACTTGGATATGCTCTTTTACCCATCATTCTGAATGGGGCAGTCTTGCTATTTGTTATAGAAATAGTCCATTGTCTTGTTGGCACCAGTACTGGTAACTCAAAAGGGGCAAGGCCATTCTTGCTTTTAATCTCCCATTTCTGGTACATTGTTGATATCCATTCCATGTTGGTGATGAATGGTCCTGGGATACTTTACCCTGTGAGGACAAAGCACTTGTACCTTTGGCTTAAGGGATTTGTCCGATTCACTTGGTTTTCCCACTGCTAGAGAACGCACAGCTTTTATTCACAGTCTTACAGAGGGGAGATGTGTAATTCCCTGAAACTTGGGTTTTGAAAAATTAATACTTAAAGCGAGTAAGGTGGCCACTCTGGTACATAGTACGTGGCTGGTATCCAGGTCAGAGATTGGGGTCCACCAGCTGGCTGCAAAGGAGCCGGCTTCTCCAGTAAAGGATTTGTAACAACTAGGGGCTGTTCTGCTCTCATATAGTGGCACTGGGAGTCCACTGAATGGCAGGCAGGAGAGGAGGTTGATATTACATTGGGCTGCTTAAGTGAGATTATGAATATTTGTGTCTGAAACTGCTTTGTTAATGTATGCGATAATCTTTAGTTTACCTGATACTATTACATGTACTTAAAGTCAATGAATAGGAATTGTTTGGAGTGACTTTGGTATCCTGCTATGTGCTGAAATTTTTAATGTGTGGAAAACCAGGAACAGCAGGCAGTTACCTCTTTAGTAACAAAATGAAAGCTTGGAGATTGTCTTTTGTTAAGGATAAAGATTGAGAGTAACTTCAGGAGGTAGCGGGTGCACCTATCTAAGTACTTGTTTAAATCTTTAGAGAAAGATAAAGTATGATTCTCCAGGCACTCTTAATTCTCCTCTCAGTGTATACTCGGGAATCTAGAAAGAACAGTGATTTGCTTGGGGCAAGCTAATAACTACAGATAGTTATGGGGCCTTCAAAATCTTTTCTTAGATGTTGTTACATGTCATCTGCACCATCCCTAAATCCACCTTGTTTATAAGGTCTTTGTTTCCCAGCATGGTGTCTTTTTCCAAGTACTTTGTCCTTTCTGAAAACCCCTCGAGTATGTGAGGAAGTTTGCAAATGGAAGAGTGTGACCAAGCCTCTATACTTGTTGCCCTGTGATAAATTGGAGAACCTGGAAGAACCCAGAGGCACACTCGTGTTTTAAATCTGTGGTGCTAACCCCGGAGGCTGTTCATTTTGAGTTTGGTTGCTATGAACTGATCCTGTCTGGACACTGACCATTTTTAGGAACTTGGTAAACTGATCATGGTGGGATGGCCTGCCCAAAGAATTTGTGATCTCTAGGATCTGTAAGCAACCTGTGGCTTACAATATCCTGGTCTTACAGTTTTAGTGTAACTTCAGCTCTAAAAGCCAGGCACATAGTGCAAGAATTGGAAAGTAAGGGAGTTGCTTCAGTGTTACATGTCTGTTAACCAGTATCTCTTGTCAGTAATTGTATGGGGGGGAGGGAGATCCCTATTGTCAAAGGCTCATCTTTTTTTTTTTTTTTAAGTTTTAATGAACATTTACAGAGATTTTGGATTTCCATTCATTCATTCATTGTTGCATTTTTCTCTCTGCCCACTCCTACACCCCCCACCTATGTAACCTTCATTCTGGACTCTTGTCATAACCATAACACCCAATCATATATTGCCTTTAAACTGTTCTCTCCCTCATTTGTTTGAATGAAGTATTGATTCAGTGACTGGGATAATTGGGATGGGAGTGTCAGAGACAGTGCGATTGGCACAGGACAGAGCAGAGTTTAGAACGGTGTTTAGGGCTTTTGTACATAGGGTCGCTATGAGTCGCAAGCGACTCAATGGCACATAACAACATACATAATTTATCCAGTTTTTCCTCACCCCTACCCTGATGTTGGTCCGGTTCTATATAACAGTGGCACTGTGTGGTATTTGTCCTTTTGTGACTGAGATATTTCACTCAGCATAATGTCCTCCAAGGTCACCCATTTTGTAGAATATATCATGAGTTCTTTGTTTTTCAGTGCAGCGTAGTATTCCATTGTGTGAATATACCACAGCTGCTCTGTCCATTCGTTTGTTGATGGGCACTTAGGTTGTTTCCAACTCTTTGCTATTGTGAACAAAGCCACAATAAACATGGGTGTGCATATATAAAGGTTCATCTTTTACTGCGGGTTCTTTGTTCACTAGGAGTTGTTAGGTGCCATCAAATTGTGCTGAGGAACTTAGCACTTAGTTATTTCAAACCATTATGTGTGAGGTTTTTGCATAGTAATGCAAAAAGAGAAGCCAAACAATCTTAATTTCTCCAAAATTTTTCTTCTCAGGGTGTAGGGCGAAGATATGCTCATGTGGTGTTGAGGAAAGCAGACATTGACCTCACCAAGAGGGCAGGAGAGCTTACTGAAGAGGAGGTGAGGACATGGGTTGTATGGGGTTGGGCTTACTTGGAAGAAGGGCCTTGGGTCCCCTTCTAGATGTGACCTTTTAACCCATCTGCTAGGTGGAGCGTGTGATCACCATTATGCAGAATCCACGCCAGTACAAGATTCCAGACTGGTTCTTGAACAGACAAAAAGATGTGAAGGATGGGAAATACAGTCAGGTTTGTTTCTGTGGAAGGGAGCTGGGCATTGGGGCACATTGGAGATGAGTGCTCATTAGACTGATTGGATGAGGTAGAGAACATTCTTTCCCAAATTCAGGTTTTGGCCAATGGTCTGGACAACAAGCTCCGTGAAGACCTGGAGCGACTGAAGAAGATCCGTGCCCACAGAGGGCTACGCCACTTTTGGGGGTAAGTGGGCTTGAGGGCTCAGCCTTTTCGCTCATTTTTGTTATGATCTATGTATGATTTAATTCTTTTTCTATTTTTACCTTGCAGCCTTCGAGTTCGAGGCCAGCACACCAAGACCACTGGCCGTCGGGGCCGTACTGTGGGTGTGTCCAAGAAGAAATAAGTCTGTAGGCTTCATCTGTTAATAAATAGTTTATACATCTTCCATCTTTGTGTGACTTTTTTCCTGGTGACAACATTTGGACTTGGGTGGGTCCAAGTAAAATTATAAGGAAACCCTTAGATTTGAGGGGCAATGTAATCCTTTTCTAAGGTACAGGCACATAGGGCTCCTTGGAGGCAAGGACAGCAAAGCTTTGACTCATACTTGGACAAGTTGTTTAATGTGCGGGCCCAGTCAACTGTGAATCATGGTAGTCCTGTGCACAATAGTTCTGAACCCTGTCCTATCTTGAGCCAGTCTCACTGGCCTGTTACCTCAGTCACTTGTTAGTCTTCCTCTTTGCACTGTCCCTCCACCCTTTCAACTTTGGTGTCTTTTTCCAAGGACTGGTCCCTCCTATCCATGTGCCCAAAGTATATGAGAGGGAGCTTCAAAATCCTCTCCTCCAGAGGGAAACTTGGTTTCTTCCTCCAAGACAAACCTGTTAGTAGCAGTCTATGGAATGTACAGTACTCCCAACACCATAATTCAAAGGCATCACCTACCATTCTTAGGCATTGTCCAGCTCTCTGATGCATAGCAAGCAATTAATTGTGAAGACCATGTCCTGGATTGGGTTCATGGTGCACTAGTCTCTAGTCCAGCATTTTAGAAAGGTCCCTGGCAGGAGGCTAATACTCACTTCCTGGCTGCCAGTGCCAAAGTTGATTTTGGTGCCAACCAAGCTGAAATTGTTGACAATATCTTCATCTGTCATGATGCTGCCAGTTGGCCCAGTGGTGAAAATCTGTTTTACATAAAGCACTCTTTTCCTGATTTTGAAGCAGGCATTGTTTCTCGTTCTGACAACTTCCTGATCCCACTATAGCTTTCACATGAGTACAAAGTGTTCTATATATGATTGTCATTCTCAGGGCCAGCCACAATTTCCTGGTGACTTGCATAGTCAAAATTTCCTCTGGTAAATTTGCTTTCTGCCAAGATCCATCAGACGTTGGCTATAATGTCCCTAGTGCCATGGCCTCTTCTAAACCCAGGCTGTATTTCTAGTAGTTCTCAATACTGCACTGGTCGTTTTTGGATAATCAAGACTTGCCTTTTGTGTGAAACTAGTGACAGATTTCCAGAGTCAGATTACTTTGTTTTTTTGAATGGGGATAAAATCTCTTCCAGGTAGCTTCTCGACATGCCTTGGCACAACCTGTTGAGCATGTCCAGGGCAGGACAAGTTGCTAGGAGGGGCTGTATTGCTTAGAATTCGCTTGGAAGGGTGGAGAGTCAGCACACAACAGGAAGATCCAATGGGCTTAAGTGTATCAGAGAGGGTGAGGATGGCACAGGATATGACAAAATTTCCGATCATTCGTTCATAGGGTTGCTATCAGACCTATCCTGATGGGACCTAACAACATATATGAAGGTTTTAGTGGTGTGTTACAATCTATAAGGTGTGGCCTCCCAAGCCTTGAGGTGGAGCCCAAAGATAACGTGAGGGGTTATAACCAAATGAGAGGCTGTGTGAGCTGAGGAGTGCGCCACCTAGCAAAAGTAAGCGAGTTCCTGCCCACTCGGTGAGTATTTCCAAATAAAGGGGTTAATTCTAGTCTGGAGTCCTCCCCAAAACTAATGCCCTCCGGAAGGGACACAGATCAACGAGACCACCGCTGAGCAACAAGGGATGAACAGGTTTCAGCTGGGCCTGGAGCACTAGGAGTGGTCCCCGTTTACAGTCAGCACTGCTCGAGCCCTCAGGTAGCCCAGCCGAGTCCCCCTCGCCGGTCCACCCCGCTCCCGCAGGCCCAGGTGACCCTGCGCTTTTGAGGTGCTTCCGGTAAGGGCTGCGTAAAACGTACAGCGCAACTTCCTCCCAAGGCTTGGCGGGTGGAAGGGTCGGGGGGCGGCAGCCATGGAATGGGACCCGGGAGCAGCAGGCCCTCAACAAGGTAATTGTATCGGCAGCTCCAGCAACGGTTGCTTGTTGGACTGCCTCGTGCTCCGGGGCATCTACAACCAAGGCCGCAGCAGCCCCAGTACTGGGCCGAGTGTTTGGACTGACCCACTCGGTGCACAGGTGGATAGGAACGGGAACCCCCGATCTGAGCCAAGTGGAGCTAACTGCCCTTTACTTCCCACCAGATCCCCTCAGACCGCAGGATGATGTCCCTCCGCCGCCTCCTCCTTGCCGCCCTGCTGCTGGTGATTGTCTGGACTCTGTTTGGGCCCTCAGGCCTCGGGGAGGAGCTCTTGAGCCTCTCACTCCCCTCCTTACTTCCCTCTCCGGTGTCGCCAGGGCCGCCCATGGATTTGCCCCGCCTCCTGATCCCTAATGTGGAGGCGTGTCGTGGGCCCGGCGCTCCTCCCTTCCTGCTTATTCTGGTGTGCACCGCGCCCGATAATTTTCACCAAAGAAACGCCATCCGGGCCTCGTGGGGCGGTCTGCGTACTGCCAGGGGGCTGAGGGTGCAGACCCTCTTCCTGCTGGGAGAGCCTGTCCATCCACTGCCCACTTTGGACAAACAGAGAAGTAATTTGGTATGGGAGGCTCAGACCCAAGGAGACATCATACAGGCTGCTTTCCATGATTCCTACCGGAACCTCACACTCAAAACACTCAGCGGACTGAACTGGGCCAGCGAGTACTGTCCCATGGCCCGCTACATTTTAAAGACTGACGATGATGTGTATGTCAACGTCCCCGAACTGGTTTCAGAGTTGGTCTGGCGAGGGGGCCACTTGGAGAAATGGAAAAGGACTATGGAGCCCCAGGGAGTTGGAGCTGCAACTGAAGAAAAGCAAGAACGAGCAGACCAGGCCTTAGCGTACGAGCCTGTTCCTCTTTTATACCTAGGCCGGGTGCACTGGCGTGTGTACCCCACTAGGACACCAGGAAACCGACATCAAGTGTCTGAAGAGCAATGGCCTGAGACCTGGGGCCCCTTTCCACCTTACGCCTCAGGTACAGGGTATGTGCTGTCAGCTTCTGCCGTGCAGCTCATCCTAAAGGTAGCCAGTCAGACACCCTTTCTGCCACTGGAGGATGTTTTTGTGGGGATAAGTGCCCGAAGAGGAGGCCTCACTCCAACTCACTGTGTCAAGCTGGCTGGTGCCACCCAGTACCCCCTAGACAGGTGCTGCTATGGGAAGTTCCTGCTGACATCCCACAGGTTGGACCCCTGGAAGATGCAGGAGGTATGGAAGCTGCTGGACAACCCTGATGGGAAAAAGACTATGCCTTTCTGCTCCTGGCTCCAAGGAGCCCTGGGCATTCTGAGGTGCCGGGCAATAGCCTGGCTTGACAGCTGAGTATGTCAAGGGCCACAGGAGAGGCGTGAGGAGCTGAGTGGGGATCACGTACCCCTGCCCAGGGCCTTGTCTCCTTAGGCCTCAGGCAGGGGCTACAGTTAAAGTAGATCCATCTCATGTCACTCTTCAGACAGGAATGAAAGGGAAGCTCATGGTGTGGCCTGCTAGCCCCTAAAATAGTCATGAGAAACAGTGGAAAAAAACTGAGGTTGTTCTCTCTGCTCGACAGATGAGGGACACGAGCTCCTAAATATACATTTTTGTCTCTTTACCTCGAGTGCTACTTTCTTTACCAGAACTCCCAGAACACTTGAGTGGGAAGTCTCAGAGGCTGCCAAACTCTGATGGATGGGAACAGGATCTCCAAGGAAATGGGAGAGGGAGGACTTTGAGGAAGGCCCTGACAAAAGCAGGGCTAAGACCAAACAACCGATCACACAGTACAGGGCAGAAGGCAAGGGCAATACACCATGATCCCTCTGATCCTACAGTGCCACTCTAGGCACAGGCGCTGGGGACTCCAGGCACAGGTGTTAGGGACAGGGCCATAGGATGAACCAGACACACTGTCTAAAAAAAATCACCTTCCTCTTTAATACCAACCCTCCCCAGGACCCAGTTGCCCACCCTGGTAGGGAAGGGACAGAAAAAGAGGGCCATCCCCTCTGTTTCCAGGAAGTAAGGTCATTTCCCCATAGTCTTGGGGATAGATTATTGTTCCAAGTCATGTCAGGGCCAGATTCAGTGCACAAATCTGTCCAGGGCAGAGGGCCGGGTTCCTGTGGATACAGCTGCCTTCTCTCGTTTGTGCTTCTGCTTCTCGAGACTCTCCCGGACTTTCTCCTGGCAAGGGGACACAGGGACATGGTAAGAAGTGACAATGCCAGGGACACAAGAAGAGGAGGTGCTCCCCAGAGGAGGGCTGGCCCACCCATCAGTGCTCTCACCCTATGCTCTTCATCCATGACCTTCCTCTTCCTCTTCACCAGGCTGGCCGTGGAACTGCGGCCCTTCTTCTTTGGCTTTGGTTGGAAGGGAGCCTTGGCCTCGGGGTCATAGCCCTAGGTAAAAGGACATGAGTGAAATCTCTAATAGCCTCAAAAGCCATGGACTGTAGCAGCCAGCACTTCCCTACTGTACTGCATTTCTAGGAGAGGTTCAAGGTGGGGTCTTGGGGTGAGGAGGCCTGGGCAGACAGGGTGGTTGGTTTGGGGCGGGGGAAGGGGGTGTGGAGGGGCCCGCTCCGCACCAGCCTCTCTATCCGCTCCTTCTTTGCCTGCTCCAGAGTAACGACATCAACTTCTGCCAAGGTTCGTGGGTCCAGACAGATGAGCTCTGCAGGTACCTGGCAATATCATAAGGGGACAGAAATACATAAAGTCACAAGAGTGTGACACTAAAGATAGAAACCAGAGAGGGTGCTGAACCCCATTCTTCCCAAGACTCCTGGCATGAAAACAGTGGGAAACTTTTCCCAGTCCCAACCCAAAGCCAGAACTGGGCAGAGCCTTACCTTCTCCAGCAGGGCCTTCACCTCCCACTCCTGACGCTGCTTCCGGCTCCTGTAGGGGTTATTCTCAAGGCCATCAAAGTTGGGCTCAGCAGCTCCTGGAGGAAGGGAGGAACATGGACCCATGAGAAGAACCTCATTCAACCAAGCCCCTGACTCCTTGCTGTCTGAGGCCCACCCAAACTTCACCCAGTTCATTCACTTTGTGCCCCATTTTCCTGGTCTACTTACCAGGAACCAGCATGCTGGTGATGCCTGCACTGTGTCCCACTCCTAAAACATCTTCAAAGGGGCAGAACTGAAGGCCTTGCACATGGCCCAAGAGCCGGTGGGTGAGGTATGGCTTCTCCAGAGAGGGTGGGCTGCCTTTGCCCTGGCCTGCCCATATGTTGACCACATCGCCCATTCCTGCAGCCAACAGTCCCCGCTGAGAAAAGTCCAAGTGCCCTGCTCCCTGGGGCAGTGTCCGAGCGCTGAGAGGCTGGAATGTTCCTCGCAAGTCAAAGATCTTCAGCTGGTGGTCCAAGCCAGAAGTGGCCATGTACCTGAGAGGAGAAAATGAATCAAATAATCTATGAGTTTATTAAGCAAACCTATGGTCAAATTCATATTCCCCGGAAAAAAACAGCTGTTGCCCTCCAAGCACTGGGTCTGGCTAGGGAGAGGGCCCAATAATCACCACCACCAGCATCACGCTAAATGCTCCACAGCCAGCCTCTCAATTAAGCCCCATATGACTGGACACTTATTATTTCTCTTTCTTCTCAGAGAAGGGAAATCAGGGTTAATGGGTAGGAGAGCTTTCATTCTGATCAAACCCTTTTCCTTAGTGCCTGCTATTTTATCCACTGGAGCTCTGGTGGCCCACTGTTAAGGAGTCATGCTGCCAACCCAAAAGCATAAGGTTTGAATCCACAAGCTGTTCCACAGAAGGATGTGTAAAATTCCTTTTGTGCAATTAATTTACAGCCTCTGAAAACCCACAAGAGGGTCAGCTTTGAGTTGGTCCTGATGTGACCAATAAAGACTATACAGCTCTCTTGAGACATATAAAATAAGCAGAGAATACACATGGTAATCTGTGTCTCAATGTGGTGTTTCACTGCAACCACAGAGGCAGCAGAGAAGTTAATCAAAGAGAAGGATCAACTGCAGTGGTCAGGGAAGAATTCAAAGAAAAGGTGAGGTGTGTGCTATTCTATATAATAGTGAAGAAAACACAAAGATATGTAAGTACAAATGAATTTACATCATAGACAGAGATGGAAGCAGGATTAGAGGAGAATATGGTCAGAAAAACTGGGAAGAAAAATTGTAGAGGCTCTTAAAAACTCCTTAGGAAGAAATTAAGTAACTCGCCTTTCCCTAGAAATGGAAATGGCAAAGTTACTGACTAAATCCCCTCAAGGTGTCTCACAGCCTACGCTGTTTACTTTCACACGCTGGAATGTCTGTCTGTGTTCAAGCTGTTCCTGAGAGGAAGGCTGAAGGGGGAATCGGCCAATGCCCAAGAGAGAAATTTTCACCAAGGGGTCAAGGACTTTCTTGGCTTGGCTGTAACTTTCCTTTGTACAATTTTGTAAGCAATCATCTAAGGTGTAATTACTGGTCTCCTCCTGTTTGGACCAAATAAAAGCAAAAATGAACTAATCAATCAAAAGGGAGCTTAAGAGAGCCTATGAGGGGAGACTTATGACAGAGCTGAATAGAGGCTTTGCTGGATTCTACTTCTGACAACATAACCAGGGACCCAAGTCACCAGAGTGGAAAGCTAGCACTAACAAATCAGGAATAAGTGAAGGCCACTCTCTTGAGTGAGCCAACAACTCAAGAACACATTCTGGCTGTTCTGCCCTACATACCCGCCTATGGAATTCCCTAGGAAAAAACCAGTCAGATGGCCAGCTGGTCATCTAGCTTAGTCCATACAACTATGTTACATCTGTATCAGGCAGTTCAGCTTTGAGAATCCAACCCAATTTTAATAAAAGCTTTCAGAAAATTACTTGGAGAAGGTGGTAAATCCCATCTCTGGACCCCTTGTAGCTTGTCTAGGGAAGAACCTGAGGACATTATCAGGAGGTGAGAGTAAGATCAAGAAACAAAGCACTTCCACATTAAGGGGTTGACCAAACCTCAGGACTAAGTGAACTGATTACACTCTAAGTACAAGAGCAGCTGATCCATACCACTTAGGGACGGCAAGCTACAGCTTAGGCCCAGTGGCCTTGGGACAGGGGTCCTCACCCTTCCAGAGCCAAGCTGACACAGCTATGACGTGAAAAAGCGCATAACCAAACTCCAGATAGTAGTCTGGAAGGTCAAGCGTGTCCAAGTAGCTAAAAGGTTTTTATAATTTGGTGACCACTGGGATTTCCCTGTACATTTGGTTGTTACTTTCTTTACAGTAATTTTACAAGGTGCAATTATTGCTCTCTCCCTGTCTGTAACAAAGACAACAGAAGAAAAGCAAAGATGCGCTAAGACAATTAGACTAACGGATCACATGAACCATGACAACGGGGCAGAAGAATTAGATGGTACCTGGCTGCCACTACTGACCATCCTCAAAAGGGATCATACAAGATGATCCTGGACAGAGGGAGGGAAAACGTGGAACAAAACTCAAAAATGTAAACAAATCCAGGCTTACTGGTCAAGCAGTGCTGGGTGGAATGCCCAAGGCTATGACGAGTTATCCTTCAAATCTGAACAAATTCCACCACCGTGGCTTAACTTTCTGCTCTGAGGGAGAAAGATGGGCAATCTCCTCCTGTGTGATTCACAACCTCTGAAAATCTGCTAGGGGGTCAGCTGTGAGTTAACTCTGATGCTGACTCTCTAAGCAATGAGAGAAGAAAGAGACGAGACAGATAAGGCAACCAGGAAGGCACTCACTTAGAAAAACCAACCTTTTAGGATATAGAATCAAAAGAGCAGCATATGCCCAAGGATAAAATCTAGAAGAAGGCTAAACCAATTCATGAAAATGAGAATAATAGGGGGAAAGTAGGAATATGGTAACAATATGAATTAAGTAAACAGTATCTTTTGAGTAGGAACATGAAATCAAGGTATATAGATTGCTAACAAAAGCTCCTGCCAGGCTTAAATTGTTGGTTCAGAGGTAAAAAAATGGAAATCTTGCTACCATCAAGAAAGAGAGAACAGCACACCCTTTGGGATCAGAGATTCCTGCCCAAAATGGAGACAGACTGAGATCAAGACACCAAAACATGGCAGCAGCAGTAACAGTGGTGAACCAGAGGCTGTGTGAGACAGAGCTGAACTAGAACTGCCCCCCACAGAGCCAGAGCTGAGGGCCTGAACTCACTGGTGGAAGGACAGGGAGACATCACAATCAGCAGGACTAAAAGGCTGTGTGACATCAGGTCAGGCCTCCAAGGCTGAAAGGCAAAGGGCCTGCAAGCATACCTGAAGAGCTGTCCTCACTGAATAACTGCCCCGTTTCCAATTTGAACTGTAACGTGTTACTCTATAGTCCCCTTATGGAGTTAGCAGAGGTCAGATTCTGCTGCTCTCACAGTGACCACACTGAATTTTTTCTTTACAGTGATTAAACCCAATGTGTACGAATGATTAAAACAATACACTTTCAAGACTTTCACTAAACCATGCTTTGAAAGTTAAAAAGAAAAACTTTAAAATTAATTTTTTAAAAATTAGTGAAACTATTTTAAAACAGAAACACAGATTTCTGAATGGGAATCCCAGAACACTTGATCGTTCTAATGGGAAACTTATACTTAGACCAGGAGGCAGT